AATGTGTATACGGAAGCCGGCCAGCTTGACTGCCTATAATGGCTGGTTGGTTGGTTGGTTGGTTGATGGTAATGGAGTTGGCGAAAACAAATAAACTTCTCTCACCCGCATTGCCACCTCAAGGGGTAAACAAACTTCGCAAGCAAACGGAAGTGCATAGTTAAGAGAAAAATGCAAAAAAAATAAAATAAAAATCGAGGGATAAAAACATGTTGGCGTTGTTGGCGTTGGTGACAAATGCCAAAGTGTAGAACTGGAGCTTCGTGTCATTTGCGTCGTTTCAACGCCAATGCGCACGTCACTGCCAATCACCATTCCAGGAAAGTTAGTCACGAATGACAAACGGTCAAATAGTGGAAACTGGCAACAGATAGTAAAAGTAAAAAAAAAAAAAACAAAAACAAAAAACGATATTAGCTCCATCAAGCCAACGGCGTACACCAACGAAAAGTGGAAAAGGATTTTGTACTTGCACTCTGCACAAGTGAAGCGGAGCGGAACGAAGCGGCTTACTGATTGCGTGTGGGAAAAATGGAAGTACATATAAGTATATATGTATGTATGTATGTACATACATATGTACAAACGTTTCGGCAGACATGACTAAGTGGAGATTTTCGTGCATATTTTCAACTTTTCTTTTAACCATTCCAGCTTTTCCGAACAGAATACTAACTACTTAGGACTGTTTTTCCGCAATTCGAGTTTGTGAAAATAAGTAGCAAAAAACGCAAGGGGTTCACTATCCTATTGTTATGAATACTGCTGGTGGTGTTTATTTGTTTGTTTGTTTGTCAAGTGGATACTCTGCTAAGCATACATATATCTACATACATATCTGCATATCCTACACAAGGCTAAAGGCCAAGTCATCGCTGTTGAGATGAAGGCAAATACTTCAATGAAAAAAAAATGCCGGAATATTTGGCTAATAGATTATATCCTACACATATCTCTATGTATATGTAGTTGTACACATAGAAACATTTATATATTTATATGTTCACACATTTGCAGTTTTTGTTTTCAACTTTCTCAGTAATATATTCGCATTCACACCAAAACACTTGTTTGGCTTTTGTGTGTGCCGAAGAGAATTTACTAAATGCAAAACAGTCAATAAAACTTAAGTGGAATTGTTAGTGTGTTGGTGGCCAATCAAAGCATGTGTGAGCAGTGGTATTTTAAAATTGCATGCCATTGTAAGAATGCTTGCAGTTAAGCACTGACATTGAAAACATTCGTTGAAGTCTAATTTAATCTTCCTTTATATAGATTTCACAGTCTGCCATCGATTTTAGTTTGGAGTGTAAAAATGCTTTTGCAGATGGGTGCTATGAACTGTAAGCTGTAACCTAAAAGACAACAAAGCTGTCTTTAAACAGTTAAATGCAACACATGCATTTATTTTTCAAATCTGTACTTACACAGCTCCCATTAACCACCTGGCCTAAGCACACCCCAACCTTGGTCCCATAAAACCGAACAGGTTCAAATGTTTATTGTAACAAGTAATTTTTAGCAAAAACAAAACGTCTTAAAAAAATATATATATATATATATTTCATGATCCAGTGATCGGATCTAAAGCAGATTAGTATTACCTCTGAGACACTACCTTTCCGATGCAAAAAGCATTATCGAAATCGGTTAACGTGGTCCAAAATTATGCGGTAACAAAAACAAAACAAAAAAAATATTCCGACGAACTGATAACCTCCTCCTTTTTTAGAAGTCGGTTAAAAAAAGCGTATCACACAGAAAGAGATTTACAGGGAATTTCTGGCTAAGCTATCTAGAAAATCTTTTGTAAGTCAATTGAAAGGCAATAGGCAAGACAATTATCAATTCTAGCAACAATTTAAATGTAATTAAAAAAAAATTTTTTTTTTAACAATAACAACCAAACCATTAAACAAATTGTATAAAAAAGATAAGATAAATAAAAAAATATATTTGTATATCGTTTTTAAAAATAAGAAATCGGAACAATCAAATTAAAAGGGAAAAGATATTAATAAGAAAAAAGAAAAAACAAGTTTAAAAAAAAACGCTCTCTCATTCACCACTCATGGTGAAAAGCTATTGTGACACAAAGCACTTGTAAATCCATTAGTCGCAATGGCCGAGTGGGTAAGGCACAGGCGTGCCAATCGAGAGATCCGAAGTCGAGTCTAGGCGCAGGGGAATAATTTTAATCTTTTATTTAAGGGTTATTTTTTTTTTGCTTTTTTTAATTAATTTTTCTTTAAACTGTTAGGTTTTATTTTTTTTGAAAAGAAAAATATAAATGAAAATGTATGTATATGTTTTTTTTAATTACATTAAATTTTTAGAAACTTATTTCTTTTAATCAAAATTTTATTGCTTTAAAATGTGTTTTTTTCATTTAATTTAGTTAATAGAACCATTTTTTTCTCTTTTTTTAATATATGTATGTAGATTAGGGTGGTCCTTAAATGCATGAAGCATAACTTTACATCAGACTTCCTAAACCTCAACCCCTACGTCGATGATAGTACTAAAGTCGAACAATTCACATATAAATTTTGGTTACGATCGCAGACGGAGCAAAGTTAAGATTCCTGTATGGAGACTCGAAACAATTAAAATTAATTTTGTTTTTTTATTTAACAACACAGTGATCGAAAAGGTACAAAAATTAGGAATTCGCTTATCAATGATTATGGTGTAAAAATCAGGTTTAATACGAACCTCGGACCTTTTAAGATTTGAGTCTCAGTATAACCTTAACAAAACGGAGAGCAAAATTATGTGCATATGTCCATAAATACCAGTTAACACAAATGTTCAAACTTCGCCAGATATTAGTAAATTTATCCTGTCCGCTTAATTAAAATATGCAATAAATGTAGATGCAAATCAAAATTCCATTAAATTTATAGTGCAACGGCCACCTCGATGCACAATTACAATGTTGCTATCTATGTACTTGCCCGCGGAGCGTGCAATTTTCGTAATTTCCCAGTGGCGTTTTCTAGCAAACGCACAAACATACACACATACACACATACATATACTCTCAATGTGTAAAATGTATAAGCACGCTACGAAGTTTTGCCCAAGAAGTAACCAAATAAGATTTCCAACTACATACATATTTCTTTTACTCTTTTCTCCCAAAGCTGCCGGCAAAGGATATTAAAAGTGTCTACATACTTCTTTAACTCTTTTTACTAAAAAGTATTTTATTACATTGCTATTTGCTTGCATTTTACGCGCAAAACTAATTGTCCAACAGTTTCTACAAGCACCGCCGTTAAAACAATTGTTGGCTCGCCTTTGCACTTACTGCCTAGCAGCACGCTGGCTACTCTGCAGCTGAAGTGAAGCGTGAAACTAATTTCGCTTTTATTTGCTTATACCTACTGCAATTTTTAATCTCTCACTACGAAAGTTTTCCTTTTCAACACAATTTCCATACTTTTGGAGGGCTTCGTCGCGAGCAAAGCTGTGAAATGGGCAAGCAAGCCAGTCGCCAGTCGTAGGAGAGACGAATAACACTTTGAGTAGCCGGATTAAGAGGCAACAAACTGCTGCAATTGCTGTACGTTTTCCTTTTTTTGTTACAATAAAATTAAATAAAAAATAAATGAAATGAAAGAGTTACAAGTGCAAAAAAAAGCAACGCAAGTAACTTAGTGACGCTCGGTGTAAACTTTCGGCGCTTTAGCCAGATGCTTAAAAGATCCTTAAAACTTCACACATTCGATTTTAAGCGCTTACACCTGCGCTGTTGTCTGTGTAGTTTTGAAAAAATATGTATGTAGTTATCTCACTTTGTAAGTGAAAAGCATAAAGTGGTTATGCTTGATTGGGTTTTATTTTCTCTATTAGGCTGGGTCACCAAAAAAGTGTATAGCTATCACACTGCTTTTATAGCATTATTCGAGTGAATTTGGACGCATATGTGTATGACGTGCTAAATTAAAAAAAAAAATACACTGAGGGAAAAAAATTTAGAATTAAAAAAAACGTGCTAAATTTAAAAAAATACGCGTATGAAATGCGGAATGTAATATGAGTTTTTTTTAGTAGTATGGAAATTAGGCATTTGGACTTACAGTTGCCTGAGCTGACGCTGGTTTTTCAGCGACATAAATCTTATCGCTCAGACTCTGTATAAAACTAGATTAAGGCTAGATTATAATAGCTTAGGTAAGGTTAGACGGTCTACTAATTTCATAAGTCCACTCGGTGACCACAGACGGCCGATGCCCATTTTGATGGCCAGAAGAAATTTTCGGTAGACATATTCCTACATGTACTTAAACGAACGCTATCTTTGGCGAGTCTAGACAAACTTTTCTTGAGACTAGTCTCAAGCTACACAGTTTCGGACACATTCCAGGTTTTCCATATCTTTATCCTGTCTTTATAAACGTTATTGTGTGCCCTGTTTGATTTAGAGAGCCTCATCAGAGGGCAGTCCGCCTGCTTTTAGTATACAGTTATATCAGTATTCTCTTCTTAAAGTCTGTAAGCTCTCCTCAATGGGTATTGTATGCACTTTTTCCTGTGAGGAAAATATAGACGTATCCCGGCCTAATGTATGTATGTTTATGACTTTGTATTTGTATATACAATTTGTAATTGCGTATGTGCATATGGATGTACATAGTTATATTCAATACATACGTAGAAGTTGCATAAATTTAACAATCTACTCCTCCTCTTTTGTATACATTTACTGACAAGCGAGCAAAAGGCCACAGAAAATAACCTTTGACTTTCTAACTGGAAAATCGACTACTTTAACTGTCTGTCCATAAATTGAGTGTTGCATATGTATATTTTAACTGGATTTAGCTGAAATTACACTGCCAGCATAATTTAGATGTGTACAAGAAAGTTGCTCAATTACTTTGGAAAACTTTTTTTTTTAATTAAAAGTTTGAACATAGGCGTTTTTTTTTTCTAAATCTTACTAATAAAAGCAAATATGTAGTTAAAATAGAAATATGTTTCATTTAACTTACAATTTCTCGCTGCAACTTGGCTATATTGAAATTCGCCTGTGCCAAACGTACACTCAACGTTGCCACATCGCTGGTCAATTGCGCTCGCTCGCCAGTATTTCGATCCACCAATTTTAATAGCTTATCCTCCAAGCTTTGGTTTACCTTTTGCACTCGCTTATGCGACTCATACAAACGATCATATTTATCTTGCCACGCAATTACACTGTCCTCCAATTCAAGTTGACGTTCCGTATCCTGTATACATGCCGTTTCCATGGCTACTATTTGATTGTGTTTATCAAGTAAAGCCTGCTTTAGCGCCTCAATTTCGGTGGTGGCCGCAATCAAATGCGCTTCACAATGATTGCTGGGCTGAAATTATGAAAAAAAAATATTTGCATTGAAGCAATTTAATAAAATAAAATATTGTAGGTTTGTGGTGTAATATGAATTAAATTGAATTCAATTTTGACTATGCGAAATGGTGTTTATGGAGTTTTTGGTTCTACAAATAATGTTGCCTTCTCATTGCGCTCTTCCTAGTAGTTGTTCGTAGAGGGCAAAGAGAAGGCAACATTTTTCGGCATAAACAAAAACGCTACTGGGTTAGGTCAGATTAAGCAGGCGGCTCTGACCACAGAAATAGAGTTCACTCGGAGGCCACAAAGGCCCATTGCGATACCCAGTGGGGTTTCCCCATGCCTCTGGAGGCATGTCTTGGAACCATTTCGATTCTTTGGTGAATCCCAACAATCCTTCCAGTGGAGCTTTTACTAAGTTATCCACGCTCTGGCAAAAATGGTCCTCAAGAAACTTGAGCCGTTTTCTTCGGAGTGCTGGACACGCACAAAGGAAGTGCTGGACGGATTCTACCTCCTCCTCATCTCTACAGCTTCTACAAAAATCGTTATGCGGTGCTCCGAACCTGGCGCTCATATAGCCAATGGTCCAGTGTCCCGTTAGTATTTCTGTGAGAAGCTTAACGTTTGGCTTTGACAGCCTTAATAAACTCCTTGTTCTTCGTTCGTCGAGCCGTGGCCAGAGCGGGCGCGATACCATTCAGGGGTGTGCAGGTTTTCCCACCTGCTGTTGGTGGCTGCCTTGGTCACTCTCTCGACTTCCGAAAACAGGAATCGGGGGGGAAGGGGAGGTTTGACGATCTGGATTGCTTCCCTAAGTCCCATTCCGGATTCCTTTCTAGCATATTCATCCGCTTCCTCATTTCCTGGGACGCCGTTGTGCCCCGGAGCCCAGTAAAGATTGATTATGTGTTGCTGTAGAGCTTGTAAGTTGCCAGGAAATCAAGCCTTCTTTAAGATTTTTGCAAAGCGCAAACTAAACAAAAACACATACAAAACAAATTTATTATTTTAATTGTTGTCTTTCAATTTTTTATTTACCTTTTTCACAATGAGATCTACTTTCCGAAGATATAGCATGCAGTTATTTAATTTGCATATATGTATGTATATTTGTACCACACTACTTAAAACCAAACCAAACTAATAGCACTAAATATAATTTTTACAATTTTATCTGTGGTGTCGTATGCATCAATAGCATAAAAAAATAAACCAAAGCACCAGAAAATTTTACCTAAACACAAACACTCAGATTTATGATCGCATCTATGGTCTTTATTTTTGATTTTTGTTTAAGCGCGCCACAAAAGACCAACGACTAAACTCCGGAAGGGTTTAAAAAATTTTCGACTGTTATCGTTACGAATAGACGCGTCAACTGACACTACAAACGATTAAACTCTTGCGATGGCAACTGTTGCTGCCGCCATCTGAGCTGAGCTGCGCTGTGCTGTTTAGCTACAGTGATAACATTTTTTTTCCTGCTAGTACATAGGGAAAGAGGGGTATGAAAGTGAGTAAAATGTATATTTACATACATGCCATACATGGAAAGAATGAAATATTTTTTTATGGGGAAGCAGAGCGAATTGTTAAGGTAAAAACAATACATAAATCTCGCTATACGTTGTCATCGTAAAGTTCAAAGATAACAGTAACTAGCACCAGTGGCACAAATTGTGAATGAAAAAAAAACACATTTCGATGGCATCTATCATTTTGGAAGAGCAATGAAGAGCAATATCAAGCCAACGAAAGGGATTCTGTGTGTATGCTTAGCATTTAACGCCTCAAGCTGATAAGCGGAAATTATAGCAAATGCAATGACATTTCATATATGTATGTATATATAGTATAGAACCGATATACATATGTAAATATGTACACAGCAAAACAAAAAAGGGGCTAAGAGCTCCAATGAGTGATGGAAATAAAGTATCATAATAATGTTTATGTACATTAGGGTCGTCCTGACTTCTTTCTTCAATCCCCCAGAACTGAAGAACATCGTAAGTAAGTAGAGCCGATTTTTTTTTTTAAATAGTTTAACATATAACCGAACCGCGGTCGCACAATGGGCCAAGATTGGAAAGAATTATATTTGTTTTAAAGGGCGATGTGCGTTAAAATAAACTGATTAAGCCAATTATTTTGGGTGTTCCCTTCTAATATTATTATAAACATATGGACACAATTTTGAAATCGAGTATTCGGCGGTGAGCATTTTATGGCATTTGTAAGGCGTTTTTGATGCTAGGTTTGTATACGAAATATACGTTAAAATAAACCGGCAACGCCAATTTTTCGTATTTTTCTTGATTCATGTCCATAAAAGTCACATAAAAAACATTTAAGTTGTATGCCAACACCTTCTACATACATTAATAAAAAGTAATACCTTTCAGAAACCTTCGAACTATAGAATTATGATGAATATTTAAATTTAAAGCTCTGAAAGTATTCAACTCGGAACATGCTGTGTATTTGTCGACCACCCTAATGACCGCGTGTTTATATTATGCATATACATGTTTATGTAAGTATGTTGTACATATGTATGTATGTATGTATGTATATTTAATCAAGTAATTTAGTAAAATACTGTAGCTGCTGATAAGCGCAGCAACAGGCTGCTCCACACTTCCATATGTTTATGAATACATACATACATACATACAAAAAAATTCAACACATAGATGCATGCATGTAAATTTTTTAATCAGTTAATCCACCCATCAGTGTGCTAACCTATTATCTATTGTTTTTTCATTTCACATCATTGTTGTTGGTATTGCTGATGTTGACGCTTCTGATGCTAAACGTATGTATGTATGTATGTATTTTGCACACCATTCGACGTAATGAGACTGACTATATATAATCAGCTACCGTAATGAAAAGCATACATATACTCATATGCATTATCTATGTGTGTTCAGAGAGGAATTACTAGTACTATGAATACCTTCAGTCCTAGAGCGTAACTCGTACATACAAACATACTTACATCCATTCGTTATAAATTAAAAAGCCAGCGCTATATATCGCCCTTCGTTCCATTGTCTGCGGTATTCGCCTTCGTTAACACGCAAAGTCGCATATTCGTAATTCGCCCGCAGGATCGTTCTCCCGAATGCTGCAAGGGCTGCCCTTGTCCATACTGGCATTAGGCTTCTACTTTTCAAAATTAAAACTGTCAACTGGTGCCGAAGGCGTCATCTTTTGGGCGTTTAGGCGAATTGGATCAGCTTCAGCTCTTTATGGGATATTTCGTCGTGGAGGTCGCATACGAAACATCGTAAGAGCTATATGTCGGTGCAGACCGTTCACCGCAGAGGGTAAAGTAGCAGATATCGCATACTTCTTATAGTACCTATACCTAAAATTTGGTTTAGCCACTAGTTTTTCATATTTTATTTTTTTTTTTATTCAGAGTAAGAAAGAAGTGGTGTAACTCAGAGAAACGCTGTTCGGGCACAACGAAGCCAAAAAATACAATTTTCGCAACATTTATAAAAACTGACAACATATTCGCACTGAAATGGTATGCGATGAAATGCTTACATACAAGAAAAGTAAGTGCGCCTGGGCTACATTGGAGAAGTTAAACTTACATTTCATATCTAGTTTATCTCATATGTATGTATGTACATCTGCTTTTACTTAAGGTTATATTGTTGTCTTTTTTCTAAAAAAATATCGATAACAAAATCGATAAAAATATCCACAACAAAACCGGTACAAATATCGGCTATTATATCGACAAGTTTCGAAAATATCGATTACAATATCGATAACAAAATCGATAAAAAAAATCGATTACGAAATCGATAAAAAGCTCGATAACAAAATCGATAAAAATATCGATAACAAAACCAATAAAAATTTCGATAAGGTCTCAGAATATGGAAAATCCCTAGAATTCCGAAATAGTTCCCAGATTGAGTCTGTTTGTATCTAAATCCTTTTTTCTATAATTACCTTTATTTTAATCTTTCTTCCTCGATCTTCATCGTTACTTTCATCGGTATCCTCATTCTCATATTTTTCTTTACATTTATCTTTGTTAAGGTAATTATAGAGAAAAGGATATATGTAGATAGACACCTAGACTCAATTTGGGAGCTAGTTTGGGGTTCTAGAGATTCTCAGAACTTATCGATATAATAATTGATGGTTTTACTGGTTTTGTTATCAAGATTGTTGTCGATTGTTTATCGATATGTTATCGATTATTTATCGATTTTGTTATCGATTATTTTTCGATTTTGTTATCGATTATTTGTAAACGAACGGGAGAAAGGGACTTTGGAGTAGCGACGTGGAGTAGTTTTTGCAGAGCCAAATCTTAACTTGCAGTACCTAACATTCGTTTCATTCAATTAATGAATAAAACTTAAAACAAACTACAAGCTTCTGCGTTTCCGCAATACATACTTATTTATGAATAGACTGCGAATTTTTGATGCAGACAACGAAGCCTTAAAATATGTACCGCTTAACTAAAAGTAAAATAAATAAATTTGTATACATTGACCTTATAGTTATGGTGTACATATTTTTAGGCTTCGTTGTCGGCATAAAAATCCGCAGTCTATTTATGACTATGGTAAAGACTATTTGAAGAGATGCTTCGGGTAGAAAATAATCCAAATGGAGCTCTGTGATTAACCTCATCTAACCGAACTTCACTTTACCAAGTTTATCCTAAGCGAATTTAACCTAACAAAATCTAGCAAATAAGACGCAACATCGAAATCGGTTAAGTGAGCACTTAAGTCTATTACATATTTTTAGATTTTTGTTATTTGGCAGAAACGATAAGCAGAGGGGGAAATAATATTTCATTCAACAAACTTTTTGCAAAATTACCAAACATTAAGTAAGAAGAATAAGACAACCCTTAATTTGAGAAGACAAACGAAGGACAGAAACTTATTCTCCAAACAAATACGAAAATCAATTAAAAAATACATTCAAAAATGTTGAAAGTTAAACATTGGTAAA